AAGTTTGTTGTGCTCGCGGTGCGCAGTCGGTTCCGGCTCACCCCACGCACGCCTCGGCCGGCACACCCCTCCTGCTCCCCCGCAAGGTGTGGTCCGACGACGGTGCGAAGCTCGCCGAGCAGCTCGCGCGGGTCAAGACGACGAAGAAGGGCCCGCCCCAGCAAGGCGCTCGCAGCCCCGAGATTGCCGAGTCCCTCCCCTGCAGCCTTGGATGGCCCCACCTTCTCCCGCCTGGCATGCCGCCTGGTAGGCGTCTGGACGGGCCGCCTCGAGGCGCGAATCGCGCCGCCCGAGCCGGCAGAGGAGGAGGCGAGCCGCTGGACGCCGGAGGAGTGGCTGCGCCCGTCGCGGGTCGTCGGAGCGGCACCAGGCGGCGAGGCGGCAGAGGGCGGCGCCCATATCGAAGCGGCGAGCGCGGCGGCGAGCCCCACCCTGCCTCCGACCCTGCCTCCCGGCCTGCCTCCCGCCCTGCCGCGTGTCGGCTCGCCCCGTCGCCGCGGCCGCGGCCACACCTCCTCGCGCGCGCCCCTCGCCGCCTGCTTCGCCGCTCTCCTCGCCCTCTGCCTCGCCCTCCTTTGCCTGCGTGCCGCCGCGCCCGTGTCCGAGGCGGTGCCGCCGCTCGTCGGACCGACGCAGCGGCTCCTCGCGCCGCCACCGCGCGGGGAGGGATGCGCTGCCGGCGCGTCGGCCTGCCGCTGGAGCTGGCTGCGCCTCTCGTGCGGCCCGAGGGCGAACTGCCGCTGGCGCGCGAGTAGTCACCTTCAGCAGCTGCGCGATTTCGCCCTCGCCACCCCGTCGCCACGCCTCCTCGCCCCGCCTTGGCGCTGACAGCCGTCCCCTCCCTTACCTCGCGATGCAGGCGCTTCGCTTGGCCAGTTGGCTCGACCTGGTGCCGCCCCAGGTTCGCCCGCGCTCTCGAGGCGGAGGAGGTGTAGCCGCGATGCATGGCGAGGGCGGGCCAAGAGAGGGACCTTGCGGGAACTACATGCCGCTCTGGCCATGTGCGTGTGTGCTTGGGCGCCACGGCAGGAGGTCAGAGCTTCCCGAACGGTGGGCCTGAGAGAGAGACGCGCGAGCGTCCGGGGTAAGACCGCCACGCCGCACTGTAATAGAGTTGTTCGTCCATGGCCGTGTACGTCTGGCGTCGTGGGTCGCGTCAGAGGCCGAGTGACCACCGTCTCGGATGGTATGTCGGACGGAGACCGAGTAGAGTGTGTTGTTCTTGTTGCGCGGTCTGTCGGTTGACAGTGACACATACACACATGGCTCACACGCTCAGCCCATGACATGATACAATGACATACAACATACAATTACAAGAGCCGTCTTGCGTATATCACTGTCTTGGCTCTCGCGCGTCTCTGTACTCTGTCTCTGAGCGACTGACACTGAGAGCGCACTGTAACACCACTGTGCACTGAGGCTGAGGGTCTGACACTCTGTGACCCTGATCTATCTCCTGTGACTGTGTGGTGCGCGGGGGAGCCGGGACCGCGTCCCCGCGAGACGACGACCGAGACCGGCGCTGACCGGCCCGCACCGGCGCTCCGCGGACATGTCCGCGGACCGGACGAGGTTCGAGGAGACACGAGACAAGTCTCATAAAAGACACATCACAGTTTTTCAAGTATGGGCTCTCCCCCCTATCTGCGGGTGTGCCACGTGTGGAGTAGGAGCTGGAGGGTGGGTGGAGGGCCCCCTGGAGCCTGGATCGGTCGCTATAATTATAGCCTATAGGCCCCCTAATCGGGCAGTTTCGTCAGACCGCCTTTAAGTTCTCTTTGTCACCTTCTTCAGCAACTCGCCAGCAGCGATCCGGGCAGCACCGCGTCGGCATCCAGCCCCGAGAGGGTGCGCAGCCAGCACACGAGGGCGGCGGCGCTCTCGTCAGACAGGAAGCGCTTCTCGGCGTCCGCCGCGCCCGCCATGATGTGGCCCTCTTGCGAGTCGCGCGCCGCTGCGTCGCGCATTGCGTCGAGCGTGCGCGTCTCAACGGGCACGCCCGCCCAACGAAGCAGCGAAGCAAAAAGGCGCTCTTGGCCGCCAGAAGCTCTCAGCTCGTCGAAGCGCAGGGTCCTCCCGCCGGTGAGCGCCGCCGCCTCATCCTTCCAGTGCGCCATCGCATCTGCCCAGTCGGCCCCAAAGGAGACCGCGAGCGCCGGTAGGCTAGGCGGCGGAGCGTGCGTGCGCAGGGCGGCCGCCACGTGCGCCGAGCGCATGCGCAGTGGACATGGAGGCGCGCGCTCGGGCGCACCGGAGGCTTGCTGCAGGGCGTAGTGGCGGCCGAAGGATCCAACCACCTGCCTCGCGTCCCGGTAGACGAAGAGGTGGCTCGCTGCGGGAAAGGCAGCGGCGACGGTAACGAGGAGCTGGTGGCCATAGCTCTTCGGCTTCATTGCAAAGGCCGTGGCCTTTGGAAAGAGTCGTCTCGCGCTGGCCCAGTGGATCAGGTGGAGGGCTCGCACGAGCTCTTTGCTCGGTGGGTTGCCACTCATCCTCATCCGACACAGGTCGTCAAACCAGCACGGCTCAGACACGCAGCCGACGCCGGCGGCGCACAGCAGCCGGTGCAGACACGTCGACCCGCAGCGTCCAACGCTCCACACGAAGACTGCACGGGGTGGCGTCACGGCGGATGCCCAGCGCTCCGCCTCTGCAAACGGCAGAGCAAAGACGCGGCCTGTGGCGTGCAGCGGCACTGCTCGGTCCTCGAATGGAGCAGCGTGTACTTTTGCAAGAGAGTCAACCTCGAGCAGGATGAGCCGGCCGTTTGGCACGTCCAGGCAGAATGGCATCACGTCTGCTACCGCGGTCCCAGTCAGGATTGCGTCGAGCTCGAACTCGAGCAGGCCACCCTGTGCCGAGGCGCTCGGCCGATCCCACTGCAGCCGATCAAGGCCTGCAGGGCGAGTCCACTGGTGGCGTGAGATTTGCGCCGATAGGAGCTCGTACACGACGACTCGGCGCTCGACGGGCATAGCATCGTGCGTCCGGAAGTTCCACGGAAAAGAATTTAGAACCCGGCTCGAAAGAATTTTACAGAACACCGAGAGATAGGAAGAGGCAGACTCCCTAGGGTGGGCGACGGCTAGCGCATCACACCCCTCTCCTTAAAATCCCTGTGTGGTGGCGGCGTGCCGTCCTCCCATCCCTCCCTTGGGTTGTCTGTTTTCTTTCTTTTTTTACAGAACACACGAGGAGGCGCACAGCGCCTAGATATGTGTCTTGTGTTGCTGTGTGCTGCACGCCCTGCGAGCGGGGCGGGGTGCGCACTGTCCATCTGTGTTCGTGCGTCGCCCATCTGCATCTCTCCTGGAGATGTCTGCTCTATTTATTTATATACAGAACAAAGCTCCCTCGCACGACACTGGGCACGGCGGACTGGCGCGCACTCGGAAAAGAATTTGGCCCGGCATGTTGGACCGACGACCGTAGTCCGTACGACCGAGCGACTTTTATCGCACAGGGTGTACTCCACATTGGTCTGTTTCGAATTCGCACGCGCTCCCGCGCTGCGGACACACATACCAGTTACCACTCTCACTCTCACATAAGATCGACATGCCAAACGGCCTCGGCTCTTCCGCCACATCCTCACACTGAGAGGGGCATGGCGAACGGCACGCGGGAGCCTCCCTCTCTCCCACGCCACCAGCTCGCCGCCCCTCACATCGTACGACGCATGGGAGTGTCCCTAGGGCGGGCATGCGTGCGCGTGCAGCTTGTACGCCTGGGACGCGAGCAGCGCCAGGTGGACCGCCACCATGTACACGATGAGCAGCACCTTCCGCGGGGTGGCGCGCCCGCTGGCGGCCACCCTGGCCCCCTTGGCGAGCAGCGGCGTCGCGCTGCCGCCCTCCTCGAGGTCCGGCGGCGACGGCGCCGCCGCCGCGCCGCCGCCGCTGCCGGGGCGGCCCCGCTGCACTGGCCGCGTCGGCGTCGCCTCGGGCGTGACGGCGGCGGCGGCGGCGGCGAGGCAGCTGCACGAGTTGGCGGACAGATCGACCTAGCTCGAATCATTGGACCGCTCAGTCCTGGGGTGCTGCCAGCAACCACACCCCTGAGTGCCGGGCCCCGCCCCTGAGGAAAGAGCCGCCGATGACTGCGAC